TCTCCCTGCTCCCTGGCGGGGCTGGAGCTGGGTCAGGTGACGCCAGCAAGTCCTCTGATGCCGCAAGACAACGGGACTTCTTCACTGAGGTCACGGCTACCAAGGTCAGCCTCTGGGGAGCTTCCAGAGGGACGTTCCCTCCCACCCAGCCCCATGCTGTGCGGGTCACCTGGGCAGCCCAGTGTCCCCAGGCACCGCACCAGAGGAACCATGGACATAAGGGTGATCCCAGAGCGTAGGTTTGTGATGTCATCCCACGTCCCGACGGCTTGTTGCTATACAACCACCCCAAGCCTCCCTCTCACTCTTCAGTATGTACGCGTACATGTGTGTACACGTGTTTGTATGCACCGGCACATATGTGTATTGCGTGGGATGTGTGCACACACGTGCAACTGCGTATATGCAAGTGTATCGCACTTATACATGTGCCTATGTGGGTTTGTGTGCACGTGTGGCACACATGTGTGCACGTTACACATGTGTGCACATGGCTGTGTGTGCAGGTATGTGTATGTGTGTACATGTGCGTGTCCGTGCTCACACACACTTCTCATTACGTCAGGTGGTCAGAGGCTGATTCTTACCGAGTCCCCTAAGCAGAGTCAAAGCAGAAGCCGGCGGGCCTCAGAATTAAGCTTGCCCATGGCCTGTGTGTCCCAGATGTCTGTGAAACTCAGAGTTGGGGGGTCCAGGGTGTCTTCCTCAGCCACCTGTCCCTGCCTATGGGCACTCGTGTTCAAACAGCACCAAACACAGAAGTGGAGCAGAGCTGTGTGCACAGGGGACAAGGGTCCAACCCAACTCCACCGTTCCAACACCACATGGTGCCGGGGCCCTTCGGTTTCGGCCCCTGCACCACCCCACCCCCATCTCCACACCTGTGTGTGTTGGTGTGCATGTGCGCATGTGTGTGCATGCTTATGTGTGTGCATGTTTGCACATGCGTGTGTGCATGTGCGCATGCATGTTGGTGTGCATATGCGTGCATACATATGTGTGGGCATGTGTGTGCGTGCATGTGTGTGCATGTGCGCATGTGTGCGCGTGCTGGTACACGTACACTCTGAATTCAGAATGTAGGCTAGAGGTGGGACTTTGCCGGTGGCCGTCTGAGCTCGGCCTCCCTAGTCCAGGAGGCTGAGCCGAGCGTGGCTATGGGCCCGGCCCACGCCCGCTGGCGCCACCGGAACCAGACTGCCCAGGGCAGAGGGGCATGTCACCACGGCGGGTCCTGAGCACAAGTGACGCCAGGGTTCTTTGAGCTCAATTTATTTTCCAGACAGACAGACAAATGAGCCCGGGGAGTAGCTCTCGGCTCTAACAAGAGTTCTTTTCTTTATAAAGGAGAAAAGGGAATCCTTGGTTTTCTGGTTTTCACAGAATGAATTTTTTCTTTTTTTTACAAAAAATACTTTTTGATGTGCACATGCCTACTTTGTTCTTGATGGCTTTTAAGACCCGTTTTTAGGCAGAGTGTCATTTTTGCATACTTTATGCACCGCTGTTCTCCCTGGCTTTTGCCAGATGGTGGCGCGCTCCCCCACTTCCCCTCCAAAGACCGCGGAGCGAAAAGGAGAAGCTTGCCAAGTGCACTGAGCCCAGGCGGCTGGAAGGACGAAGGACAGGCAGGAGCGACCTGCGCGGGGGCCGACCACACAGGCCGGGAGTGCCCGGGGTCCTCCGCCTCCCCTGGGGAAAAGCTATGCAGACCAGAAACAAAAGAACAGGAGGCACAGTCGCTTTCACTCATGTTCCGGGCATTTTACCCCTCTCTTCCGTAGCAGCGGTTTTAATAAACAAGTACGACGCCCGCGGCATTTTCCTTAGAAACCCCGCCGCCCAGGCAGGCTCACGCACGCCCGTGTACAAAGCGTCTTCACAGCGCATGGCAAACACAGTCAGTTTTTGGGACACAGGCTCTTTAAGTCTACGTGACCCCCCCCCCACCCCCAGCCTCCTATCCACCGCAAATACCGCTACCCTCAACTTCACAAAGTTTCGAGTAGCGAACTTGTAAGTAAAAATGAAGCGTACAAAAGGGACCGTCCCTAGAACATAGTTGCACCCTGTATACAACGTACCGCCCTCTGAAACCGGCCAGGGGTCACGCATGGCAGATTGTCGACAACAGAAAAAGACTCCGACGTCTGTCGCACGTGCTTGAGTCAACGGTCCGTGTGGTTTTCCAAAGAGAGATTTTCATTTACGGTGACAGTGCTTGCTGACAACCTCCGAGACCAATGATTAGTTTATGATACAGCACTCGCTGGCCATCTTTATGAATAAGAAGCCAGTTGAATCTCCTGGCATTTAGGCGAGTAACATTTGATTGTCACAATGTACAATTCTGAGACAATAAATACAAGTAGATCCGATGCGTTTCTTCATTGTATCAAGTAACTCCAGTTTAATTTAATACAATTTAGTGCATTTCAGTATCTCATTCACAGTCTGACTTCTGTCCAAATACTTTTACAACGAAAAGTTAAACTGAAAAGTTTACGAGAAAAGAACTTATTAAAAAGCTTAAAAAATTAAAGCGATTCAATTGTCTTTAAAAAGAACGTGTGGCTGCCACCGGGGCTGACTAGCGTCAGCCTCTCAGACGATTTCCCGGGCTCCCTGACAGTGATCTCGTCCTTGTTTTTCCCGAGTGGTTTGTACGAATGCCACCACTTTTACTAAATCAGCTAGCGGCAAACGCTTGTGCTAAAACTCAATTCACGCGTCCACCCCCTCGATCAAGCACGACACGGTGTGACATCTACCCAAAAACTGGCCCTGTGATTTTGCGTCCTGGCCCTGATGTGCAAATGTGAAGCCTGAATGTCCGCATGCACCTTGGCGGCCCCACGCAGGGTGGGGACAAAGCCGGGCCCACCTGAGCGGGTGGCACGGCCGGGGAAGACCAGGCGCTTGGAGAGGCTGGCCTTTGCTTTGGGAGCTACGTTGCTGGAGAAGGGGCGGGCACGCGGGCCGGGGACGTGCTGTCTCCAGAGAGGAGGGTGGTGGGCAGGCCATGCCCACTGTTTCAACCCGAAGCCTGGCCGCACGGCAGGAAAATCGGAAGCCACATCATACCAGTGAACGCTAAGCGTGGCACGCTGGGGGAAGCATGCGCTCCGGTGAGAGGCTCGCAGCACGGGGTTGAACAGTGCGGTGGAAATCAGCCAGGCTGGAGAGGTTCTCTCTGGCTTGTCCTATAGGTGTCTCGGGCAGAGACAAAGCAACATGCAGGGGGTTACTCATCCTTCGCTCCAAACCTGACACAAACCGGTGGGCACACGGGGGACGGCAGCCTAGAGTCGGCTCCGAAACGCACAACTGCACGCCCTGCCCTCCTTCAGGCCAGCTTCGCACTCTGAAACCGAACTGGTGTAGGGGAGGTCACCGGGGTACACAGGGCGGGTGACGGGGCAGGGGCAGGCAGGCGGGGTGGAGTCGCAGTTGATCAGGGATGGTACCCGCACTGCATTTTTAGAAGAAAGTGCTGCTTTACGCCGTTATTTAGTGGTTCGTACGTTCAGAGCTCCTCTCAACCAGACTCTGCGCTTCCCGAGGACAGGGGCGACCGAGCACCTCGCACAGGGCTGCGCGTCCCGTGCGCTGTCACTGGGTACCGGGGACCACGTCGCTTCTTTCTCTGGGCTAAACCTCGTCGATGGGTAGCCGTTTCAAACCCCCGGCTAGGCTTGGTTTGGAGGAAGAGGGTGCACAGAGAGCGTTCGCAAGTCTGTGACACGCTCTCCCTGCCACCAGCCAAGCCGTCCCGCGGCGTCTGCTTGCTGGCACGCAGGGGCAGTCGCCACTTACAGCGCTAAGAGAAAGACCCTGGCAGGGAAGCCAGAAAGTCCCCAGGTGCTGGCAGCTGCTGCAAAGTCACCATGGAATGCCACAGGCACCTCGGAAGCCCCTAGAACTCCCCGGAGGGGCCGGAAGAACTGTGGCCCTCTCCCCCAGCTAGACATGCGGGCAGGGCCCATGGCCGAACCCCACTAGCTGCCCGCTGAAGCCCGCTCGCCTGGCAGGGCCAGGACGCGTTCATTCAAGATGACAGAGAACGCAGAACTCGGCCCCTGAGAGCAAAGGCCAGGCCTGAGCTGAGGAGCGTGTGGCCAGCAGCCCCCAGCGTGGGGCTCGGCCCGTCGGGCTCTCGCGGAGGGGGCCGCTCTCTGGGGCAGGGGGCTGGCTCTGGAGACTCAGGCAGCAGGGCGGCCAGCGAGCCTGACCCCGGTGGGGGGCACCCTCGACCCCAGGCTGAGCACCCACTCTAGAGCCTCCGACCGGCATGGCCTGTCCTCTCGGCCCGAATTTAACGTGACGGCAAGTGGAGCTTGGTAGTGGGGTGCACAGGAAAAGAATAAAGGAAAGCACTATTCTGGGATTTTTTAATTTAATGTAAGAAATGAAAGGAGCTCCCCCCCGCCACTTCTGAAGGAGATGAAAAGCGAGGTCCACCCTCTGAGAAAACGCTCCCGGAGTGGGGGTCGCCGCCCGGAAGGGCTCGCCGTCCAGGGCGTGAGCGGGAAGACGTGGCGGGGGCTCAGCCCCGCGCCCTGGCCGTGGCCTCCGGACCGAGGGGTCTGCCCGCCCGCCACCGACTGGATGTGGGAGTCGCACTTCCTGTGCTCCTGTCAAGCAGCAGGAACCTGTCTGGGCAATCGGCATGTCTAACTCGGTGGTAAAAGATCCAAAGTTGCAATTCTGCAGGGCAGGACCCTGACGCTTTTCGCCTTGAAGATTTTTTAGGTTTTAGTGACTTAGCAAATGACACGGATAAACACACGTGAGGACAGACCGGCAGCAGGATGGGCGAAGACGAGCAGAGGGCCGGGCTTCGGGACGGAGCTGAGATGCTCCTGGGACGGGGGCATCTTAAAGCTGTGTGGTCGTGACCCTCGGACCTCGGAGGCCTCGTGCCCGTCCGCCTCGGCTGGCGAGCCAGCACCGGACTGTGTCTGCCCCTTCGTCAGGTCACCAAGCCCAGAATGCGGAAGTGTCATCGTTACAAAGAATTTATGTCGTCCCAAAAAATCTTCCCAAAATACATACTTAGGGCCAACGCGTAATTATTTTTCCAATGAGTTTATAATTTTTCCCACGCCTCTTTCCACCATTGGCTTTCCTGGGAAACTTAACCTGCCTCTGTCCAGAATGCTGGTTTCAGTGCAGCGGGCAGAACACCTACGACTTCCCTTCCCCTTGCTAGGAAAGATGAGGGCAATGTGACTAAAAAACCAAAGTCTGAGAAGAAAGTCTGATGCAGGGGGCTTCACAGTGAAATGATTCAGCTGAGCCCTGCGGGGATTGGGGGGTGGCCTCCGTCCCCAGTCCTCCTGTCCCCACAGCGTCCAGCCGGGACACCCATGGTGCACTGAACACGCCTCCGCCTGCACATAAACGCCTCCCGCTAGGGCTGTGGCCCAAAGGGACGCTGCCAGGACCTAAGGACAGGCTGTCGGGATCCTCGGAGGAGCGGAGGAGGAGCTGGCTGCCCGCTGGGCCCGGGCAGGCGGAGCGGCAGGCCCTCCCCCGGGACGCATGTGCCGCTCAGGGGAAGGGGGGGCCGGGAGAAGGGCAGCTCACCACCTCCTTTCCTTCAGGGAGCTGAGAGCCATCAGCAGATCAACCCTAAAAATAAAGTCTCTACAAGCCAACGAGCTCTGAGCCAACAGGATCCAACCACCTTTAGAAAACAAAGGTTTGGCGGTGACATTGCTTTTTAGGGACCTTCCAGGCGTTCTGGGGGAGTCAGGCAGAGGTCTCTCTCCGCATACTCCCGGCGGCTAGCAGAGAGGGCCCCAGCCCAGCGTGGCCTCCCCAGCTCCCAGCAGGTCGACGGCCCAGGGAGAAAGGACTGTGCAGGGAGCTGTGGGCATGGGGAGGACTCTACGGTCACCGCGTCCTCAGGTATTTACGCCCCGGGTCGGGTGGGACACGGGGTGGGGCGTTTGCCTGCAGCCAGCCGCGCAGGGCTCCAGACTCCTGTGACACCCCAGTGTGTGCTTTTCACCAAGAGAGTTTACTCCACGGGGTCCCTACCTCCACCCTCAGGAAGCGAAGGCGCGGGCCACCTTGGGGGCCAGGGACCTGTGACATCCGTTCCCGGAAGGACTGGGAAAGAGCCGTGAAGGGAGTTTGCTGGGGACGCAGGGAAGGGGCTCGGGGCTCAGGCGAGTTCCCAAAACCGCAGACAGAAAACAAAAACGGGACCTAAGTTTAACGGTGCCAGGAGAGAGCGCATCAGAGGCTCTCTGTGGCCGCAGAGGCCTGGGGAGACGGCGTCGGGTGACACCTGGCACCCCGGGGGCCGCCCCCCCAGCAGACGCGGCCCTCCGTGCCTGGGGCCCGCGGGTGCGCTGTGGCCGGCTCCAGCTGGCAGGCCAGGCCTTCGATCTCTTTACTCTTGGCTCAAGTTTATTGGTTAATATTAGTCACCAGTTAATAAGAAAAATAGTTTCTAAGTGTCTTTTTTTCCGCTCTGTGTGTTGTTCTGTTTTTAATCGAGTTAATCGGATACCACCATCAGGTTACGTGTGTCAATCACAGCCATTAATTATTCCTTTTTCTTAAATTCTTGGTTTCCGTAGCTGGAGCCTTTTTCTATTTCAGTTACTCCTATGAGCCGGCGGACTCCGAAAGAAGCTTCAAAACAGGAGAAGGTGAGGTTAGACCCACCGCCTTTGGGGGGGGCGGTCCCCGACCTCCGGCCTCAGACTGCTGCCCCTCCCTGCTCTCCCCCTGCACACTAGTCAGCCTGTCCCCACGGAGGAGACACCCCCGCAGCAGAGCCGCCGGATGGGCCTGGCTCCCTGGCCCCCAGGACCTCGCCCGGAGCCGCGGGGTCACGCCCGTCCCTTACCTGCCCCGACGAAGCCCAGGAAGGTCAGGATCGAGAGCGGGGAGCCGCTGGCAAAGACGCCCACGGCGAAGCTGAGCAGAGGGGACAGGAGAACCGTGGCCCAGAAGAGGAAGTTCAGGAGCGTCCACGGCCGCCGGGCCGGCTGGAACTGCTGGCCCGGAAACACGCCCTCCTGGCTGTACATCTCCTGCAGCGCGTCCTGCAAGAGTCCAGCGGAGAAGCAGAGTCGCGACCTGCTGCCCTCCAACGCGGGAGCGTGGCGGCAGGGCAACCCGGCTCCACCGCAGGGGCGCCACGCCGCAGAACCGACGTGGATGTGCGGCTGGGCAGCCACGGCGGCCCCACCGTGGTGGCACCTCGGCTGCTCCGATCGGGAGCTTGAAGAAAGGCAACCCTCGTGACCTGGCACGTTTCCCAAGAGAGCGACGAGTCTGTGCCTGGCACAGGCCGGGGCTGTGACCCCGTCGTCATCGTCTCAAAGGCGGTGGTGGCCATGACGTGCTGGGCGTCCAGCGGCCTGGGCACAGGTCCCGGCATCACCCACAGAAAGCCACTTCCCCTCTCCTTCCTCCGTTTCCTGTAGGCTAACGACGCTGTCAGGGCGCTGTTGGCAGGGGGACGGCTGGCCGAGTAGGGGACATCTAACAGAACAGACTGCTCCGCACTGCCACGGAACATGCCGACAAGGAGGCGCGTTGTCTGAGGCACCGTACGACTCCTTTCACCATGCTGCCCACATGGCCTTAATTGCCCGGGAAGCGTAGGGTCACGTTTTTACTTTTTCTGCATTTTATTTTCTGCATCCGATTTTCTACAATTGTGTTTTGCATTGCCTAAAGATGCGGGCGGGCTGAACACACACCCAGCCTTGCAGCCTTGTCCAGCCTGTGGGCAGGCGCCAGCGCCCTCGCTGCTGGAGGCCTCGTGGGGTCAGGAGCACCTGTGACCCTCCTGCCCGTGTGCACCTCGGGGCGGCCCCGGCATACCCCCCGGCACACCCCGCCTCATGCAAGCCCACGTGGCCATTTCCACCGACCGCGGGACCCTGCAAAGGGCTGCAAGGGGCCTGCCCCGTCCACTGCCCAGCGCCCCATGTGCTGTGTGGGCAGCCCGGGCTGCCGGGCACCGCCGGGCGGCAGGGCCGTGGACGCCGTGGCTTCCCCCACCGCGGGAGCAGCCTGCCAGCTTTGAGAATTAGGGAACACGGCTGGCTCAGATTGCAATCCAGCGTCCACACACTCAGCTGTTTCGGGAGGACACAGGGACGTATTGTACGTTTGCACCCAGCCTGGCGACACACAGAAACCATCGTGGGGGTCGGCTCCCAAATCCCACGGGCTTCCTCCCAACGACCCCCTCACCTGGGCGGCCTCCTCCTTCCTCACTCACACGGCTGCTGAACATGCTTATTCTGGAACTTCAGAGACGCGGGACCGTCCCAGGCCCCGCCCCCTCCCCGAAGCTGGTCCCCTCGCAGAGGGGGCTCCGGGCTCCCGATGGGGTCACGGGGCCCAGAGCGCACACTGCACCGTGACGGAGACCCCGGTGGCCGGGCGGCAGGAACGCAGGGGCCAGGACGCGGCCTGGTCAGAGCCCGCTGGTCCTCCCCCGGGCAGCGGCCGTGGCGCAGAGTACGTGGGACAGAGGCCTGGAGACCTGAGGACAGTGCCAGCCGGCCCCCCAGAGGACAGTCCCTTCCTTCCCAGGACGTTAGTGTCTGCGTCTGTGAAACGGGCCGATCTTATGAGTGGCCCGTAGGCCCTGTGGCGACGCCACGGCCTGGTAGTCGCCGAAGGCGGGAGGCGCCGCGGTTCGAAGCGCAGGCTCACGCCAGCCCCGAGGCGCCAGGGTGGGTCACTGCGGGGTCTTTGCGCCTTTCCAGGCTGCGGGAGATAGGGCTGCAGGCGATCCAGACCCTCCACTCAGAAGACGGGAGGAAAAGGGGCCTCTCGTGCCCGGCTCGGGGTGCAAGCTGGGCAGGCTCTTTGGGGCACAACTTAGTGAAACCTCCCAGAGGAACAGCGCCCTCCGCCCCGACAACCGTGCGCAGCGGGTCTCCAACCAGCGCTGCCACAGGCGCCCGCCGCACTGCCGGAGGCGAAGCGCCGGGGCCTCAAGTTCACTGACAGGAACAGGTACCGGCAGGGGGTGGCACCCTGCACAGGGGTGGCTTCTATCCACTTGTGACAGATACAAAAAACAATGTTGACAGATACAAAACACGGTGGTGATTGAAAAAAAAGAAAAAAATAGGAGAACAACACAGTATGGCGTCCCCGATGTAAATTAAAATATAAGTGTCATGAAAAGCAACTGAAGATGTTATTTTCAAATGTTATTCAAATAATTCAAAATGTTATATTATTACATATGTCAATATTATAGACAGAGCAAATAATATAAAAATCCCCAAATAAATCGGTTATGTCAAAACTAGTTCTTTGCAGCATTTGCCTCAGATTATTTTAGGGGTGGAGAGGAGGCCCCGTGTCCCTTTGCCCCCAGAAGTCACCCTCTCCTGACCAAGGGATGTTCATTCTCACACACGGTTTCACACTCCCACCCACATGCGTGTGTCCGTGAGCTTGCATGCTTTGCAATTTTCCGTAAGTAGCATCAAAAGCATACACATACGGCAATCTGCTTCTTTCATACATTTTCTCGAGATCCAGTTATGTGGATAATATGTAGTTCATTTATTTTAACTGAACCACAGCAAATGGATGCACATATACAATGTATCTATTTCCTAATGATATACTTTCAGGTTATTTCTCATTTCCTGCCAAACCAACACTGTTGAATGTCCCTTTGCGTTCAGAGTTTCAAACTTTTAAAACCTGATCCGGGAACAGAGACACGTCCGCCTTCGCCGCCTGTAGCACACGCCCAGCTGCCTCCCATGTGTGCGACGCCCGCGCTCCGCTGCCTTTTTTAAATTTTTTATTTTTTAGGCCTTTTTTTAATTTTTTATTTTCTAGGCGAGGCAGCCCTTGGTTGACCTCACAGATTGAAGGACCTCGTCAGCTGACAATCCCTCATTTTTTTATTTTTTACGCCTACGGCACCCGGTCTTCCTAGGCGGTCTCCCATCCATGGACTGAGCAGGCCGGACCCTGCTTAGCTTCCGCGATCGGCCGGGCCCAGGCGCGTTCAGGGCGGCGCGGCCGCAGACTGCACTGCTTTTTCTTTCAGGTTTTTCTTCCTTCTGGAGAGGGTTGTGTTGTTCTTGGAAATCGCACATTTTACCTGTTTTCGAACGTGTGCGCGTGAAGCGGGTCACACCGTGCTCGTGGGATGTTCGCCCCCTGCTCTCTGCTTGGGCCACCGTTCCCATCCCTGTTGGAGGCGTCGCTCCTTTTTAACCGGCCCGTCTTGCCCGAGGCTTTCTATTTCTATTTGGTAATCGTTTTAAAGGAAAAGCCTTTCGGTGCAGTCGAGTTACTCTTTTGTAGCTTTGCTTTCTGTTAACGTCATTTAAGCGGTTTTCACTTTTATCCGACTCGCTCTGGGTTTACTGTGACTTGTGTGTACGTGTGTACGGATGTACAACGTATGTGCATGTGAGTGTGTGTGTCAGCACGTGATGATCAAGGGGATAAAACGTGTGACTTTGGAAGAGATTCTGACGCATAGCGAGAGATATGTCCAGCGCGAACCGCACGGATGGTCCTTCGTGGGAAGCGTGTCTTCTCTCGGATGGGGCCGAGGTCTTCTCTTCGGCTGTGGTGTTTTGCAATCTCAGTGCCAAGTGGGGGTGATGTTTTTAATTCATCCCAGACCTGTATTTCTTGAACCTGATGAAGCCCACGTTCGCCGGTTCTAGAAGTTTTATGGTTTCATCTCTGACAACAGCTCTCTCTTTCTGTACCTACGGGACCCGCGTCCACGCTCTGTCTTTGAACCTTCCTTTCGTCGCCACGCGTCCTCGGTGCTGCATCCTGAGCGATTTCCCCTCAGCCGTCCAGTTTACTAACTCTCTCTCCAGCGACATCTCATCCGCTAAGATTTCACCGTCGATGACTCCGTTTCTCACGCTTATAAGTTCGACTTGCTTTGTCTCAAGTCTGACTCATTTCTTCCGAGGTCTTCCTCTCTGCATTCAGCTCTTTCTCTTGTGCTTAATCATTTCAAACAGACCGATTTCGGTCTCTGGCTGATAGGTCGACAGCTGAGGTTGCTGGAGGGCCTGACTTTTGTTCGCTGTCTGTCGTGGAGCCACGGTGGCTGTGGCTCTGAGCTCATCTCCAGCGAAATCTCCTGTGAGAAAGCCGCGGGCAGCCATGTCCAGCCAGTTCTGAACGTGCTTCTCTCAGAAACTCCAGAGAGATTTGCCTGGAATCGCTTTGTATGGTGATATTTTGTCTTTTTTCTTCCTGAACTATGTCGTTGGCACAATGTCAACCGTGAAACCTGTTTGGGGTCGGGCTTGAGACTATGAATTACCAGGGGAACCTTTCTGAGACCAAGAGAGGGAAGCCTCGGGGCTGTTTCTCTGGCTGGCAGGTTAACGCTTTTTCATTTTAACCTTCCTGAGGGTCCCAGCTTCGGGCAGGGTCTTCGGTTCTAACTTGCTGCCTTGAATGAAGTCAAACCCTTATCTTCTATCTCCAGGGAGGCAGCAAACTCAAGACTTTGGGTTCAGGCGACCGGCACGCTCCACTAGGAGAGCGTGGCAGCGTCAGCCCCTAGGCTCACCCTGGGTTTTGAGTCCCAGCTCCTTTTGGATCCCTAGAGAGTTCCCTTATTTTTTGTGAGCTCGTCAATGCACTTAAAAGGATATTTGTTATACACTGGGAGGATCTTTTGATTATCTAAGCCTCCCACAATACTGAAAACAAAGATCTAGTGTCCCGTATGTTTGTGTACATGAAATAAGCCAGAAGTCAGAGTCGGGGTGAGGTGTGCTATGGGAAAAGAGCGAGCTGGGTGTGATTTTAAGAATTGTTCCATCTATGTCGTGTCTCACACTCACATGCACACATGTCTGTTACACATCTATACTTTCTTTCACGTGAAAAAATGAAACAAATGTGAAAAAATGCTATCAGCCATGGTTACATAGCATTATGTTACCTTTCACACTTTTCTCTAGTTTCTTAATTTCTCGAAAGTCAAGAAAAAATGAAAGGAAGAAGAAAAAGGATTGGAAACATGTATTTGATAACTGCAGAGCGCTCCTGACTCTGGAGCAAGTCGATACGCTGCAGCCGGCCCTGTGAGCCGCCCCGTGAAACCTCCCCAGGGCCCCCCGGGGGGACGCTTCGCGCCTTTACCTTCTCCTGGTACAGTTTATGGAGCCACTGAGCCGCTTCCTTTTCATCCAGCGGGATCTCTTCCAGAGGAAACCTCCTGTTTTATGAAGCAGATTAAAAGCAAAGCGAATCAATACATGACATCAAACGGAACATGGGGGAAAATCCTGTGCATCGGGGTTGCCCGCTGGCCTCGCTCCTCGATCTCACTCAATCCCCAAAAGCACATAAACATCGAAGGGACCCCTCCCTGGAGCCAAGAGCACCGTGGCGTGGCCTGGGGCTCCAAGGGGCTGCAGGGAGCCTCAGTGCTCCCGGCACAGTGGACGCAATTCACAAGGGACACCTGTGAGCAGTGCAACGGGCAGGTCACGCCCCAGATCCACGGGGAAGCGTGACCGCCTATTCGCTCCGGCGGGAGTTTTGGTCTTAAGGTTCATTCTCCATAAATAATCACAACTCAGAGTGACTTTCAATAGGCAAAGAAGATGATACGCCTCGCAAATGAAATCTACTGCTTCGAGTATGAAAAGCAATAAAGATTTAGAACTTTAATCTCAATTAACAAACAGATGACTGGTTAGGACACTAACTTATTTATAAACCTAATCACCAGCTGGATTACCAGCCTGGGAGTGGAGGTGTCTGCCTAGTAAGCTTAGCAGGACGAGAAGCGCAGCCCAGGGCAACTGTTGTACCTCCAGACCGCCAGCAGAGGGCGCCAAGCCCACGCGCTGGAACAACTGACCCGTGGGATGATGGACATCCCCGGGCAGTGGGGTGGGGGCTGGCTGCCCCCCTGCAAGGGCTCACAGTGGCAGGAGAGCCAGGAGAAGTCCATGCCAGATGTAAACTGCCCCATTTTAAGGTAGCTCAAACTTTTTGCTCTAAAAATTGGGAACTTGGTTTGTGCGGGTTTATGCCTATTGACCTTGGCCACGTTTGAAAGGAAAACTGAGACTTTCCAAGTACGCCGCTCGCAGACAGCGAGGGGTGCTGGTGCCACGCCTCGTGCAGCCGGGTCCCAGACCGCACCAGTAAGCAGCCAGGTTCGGCGGGGGTTTGCTCACGGAGAGATGGCTCCCTAACTGTTCGCAGCCCACTCGCTGGCCTCCCTGATCTTACACGCACAGTGCGCACGCCACACACAGGTTGTGTGTGTGTGTGTCTGTCACATGCATATGAAATACACAAAATAAGTTCTGAATGATGAGATAAAAATGCATGCACACGTGAGCATCCATCTCCTGGGGCTGACCCAAGGCACCTGAAGGATGCTGGCCAGCATGACACAGGAGCGCCTCTGGCCACCATCGCCAGAGCCCCTAGCTTTGCCCACAGACCCTGGGCACTTTACCCGCAGGGGACGGGGACGAGGCAAAAATCCCCGGGCTGTGAGAGCCTCGGCTGGATGGATGACGAGTATGTTTCGCACTCACTGGAACATTGCTTTAACTCAAAATCCAAAAGGTGAGAGACACAAAACAGGTAGCTGAAGCTTTTAAAGTTCTAGTAACATGAGACTAGGTCGAATACAGCCGTGTTTTCTGCAACCCAGGGAGCGGACGGGCGGAAGCTCTCGTCCTCTGCAGCTGGCGTGGCTTTCCGTACCTGGGCTGGCAGCAGCTCAGAGGCGCCTGCTGGGCCCAGCGCCAGAGTCGCCCGGAGGAGTTGAGCCAGCTGAGGTCAGCAGCGGCCCGGAGCCCGCCTTCTCCCCCAGGCGGTCTGCCAGTGCAGACCTAACTTGGGGTGCACCCTGAAGAGGGGACCACAGAGTCCCCTTGGCCAGGACAGCTGTCCTCCCCCCTGCGGAAACCGTAGCCACTGTGCAAGTTTCAGCTCAGCCTCTTTCAAAAGCCTGTGTCAGTCCTTCCCAACCATCCAGAACATTCTGCCTTCACCCCCACAGCCACTCGTTCACGGTGGCCAGTGGCTGCCACGTTGGACCCCGTGTCCGCCCGTCCTGGGGGGTGGGACTGCGGCCACCTCTGGGTGGGGACAGCGGGCGGTGGGAGGGGCCGCGTGTCGGGCCTGAGCTCACCTCACACACATGTCCGCCTCGTACTTCTTCCCGTACAGGATCCCCAGCAAGGATGGGTTCTTGTTCCCCCGGAAGTTCAGAGTGACATCGTAGACGGCTGCAACTGTGGGGCGAGGGGCGAGGGGTGAGCCGGCCGCCCCCACCCCCGCGTGGGCCACTGTTCCCTGTGACGCGCCTCCAGCTGGGCGCCTGGCCGAGTCACCTCTGGACCCGCTGGCGTGTGTGCGTGTCGCACCGTCCGGCGCGGTCCGTGCGTCCTGTCTCTCCTCCGCCCTGTCTTCCCCCCTCCTCCTTTAAATATGTGTACATGTGCTTTTCTCTTCATCAGGTTTTCAGTCACATGTTAAGTTGCGTTAGTTATTTATCGACTAGCATTCGGTGGCCTCGAGAGGAAGGAGAGCCTCGCCACACGCCAGCTGCTCTCTCGGGTCCCCTCCCTGCCCGCTACTTCACGCGTAATTCACCGTGCTTGTCTCTCGCCGCACGGGGAGCCGAGCACGGGGGCGTCCCGGCTCGGCGGTGGCGGTGGCCCTCACCTGTCCCACGCAGGCACTGGACCGCGGTGGTGAAGCCCTTGGTCCGAGGGAGCAGGTGGTACTTGAGGACCGGCAGCCCCTTGGAGACGGCCACCTCCATGCTGACGCGGTGCTTCTGCTCCGTGAAGCGTGTCCCCTCACAGTACAGGAGAAACTGGGACGAAGCACAGGGACACGGCTCGTTCCGGGCGGGAGCGCGGGCCCTGAGGGGCTCGGCCGTCTCCCACCGTGTGCGGCCTCGACCGCCACCAAACATTTGCTGCCCGATCGGCGGAAAGGACAGCGCCGCGCCAGTTATTCCATTTCGGGCTGCAATCCGCACCAACGCCCTCACCCCGCACTGCTGCTCAAAGACTGCGAGAGAGAACGTTCCAGAAAGGAGGAAACACGAAGGCCCCTGGGCAGCAGCCTCTGGTCAGCAAGTGGATAATACGTGACAGGTGGGACACTAAACAAGGAGCCAGTTCTCAAAGGACTGTCACACGCGAGAAAGAAGGAGCAGAGACAAACAGGAGATTCAAACCCATGACACTAATAATTTTGGCAGCTGTCCATCAAATCCCCCCAGGGCCCTGAGCCCGCCCCAGCCCTGCAGGCCCCGCTGGCGTTACGGGCTGTGTCAAGTACCCTGGGACTCTGCTGTGCACTAAAGGACAGTGTGGTCCAGGCCTGCAGGTTGCCCTTCGGAGGCGGTGGCTCTCTCCGGGCACCGGCTGGGTGCCCATACCCACCACCTCAGGGGCCCCCACTGCCGAGCAGAGGCTCCCCGCCCCCGGCCCCCTCCCCACTGTGGCTCCGAGGGCGAGGCCGCTGCTGGCCACCCCGTCGGGATGCAGGGGATGCTCGTGGCCCTGCAGCGTGCGGCCGTGTGCCGGGGGCACTGCGGGACTCACCCACATGTACTCGGGGTAGTCGGCCAGGCGCTGCAGCCCCCGCACCACCGTGTCGCGGTCCTCCTCCCACCGGCGCCTGCAGAACACGATCTCCAGGAAGTACCACGTCCAGCCGATGACCGGCACGCACAGCAGCTCCCTCTTGGCCAGCACCTTGGAGCTCTGGGGGGAGGGGCAGGCACTGCTCCAGGCGCCCACAGCCCCCTGGGGGCTGGCGTGCAGCTCGGGGCTTCGCTGTCAACAGGGACTCCCTGACACTGAGTGTGGCACCGCCGGGGTCAGCCTGGCCGTGAGAACGCAGGTGGCCGGCCTCCAGAGCACACCTGGGCGCAGGCCTGGCGCGCGGGAGGTGCCCAGGGCTGGCCACTAGGCCCCGGCCTTCCAAAGGGCGGGGCACCATCCAGCCGTGGTCGCTGCAGGGGTGCTCCGGGGGCTCGGGTGCCAACATCTCGTCTCTGCCGGGGCACCCAGCCCCCCAGGGCACTCCGCGGACTCAGGGCCCGTGAGGGCTGTGAGCGGGGAGGCAGGGCAGTGGCTCTGGGACAGCGGGGGACGCCACGCCTTCCCACTCCCAGCTGGGGGGGGAAGGGGGCTCACACCCACCCTGGGGAGCCGTGCCAGCACCCTCCCGGGACCCCGCGTCACTCACCCCCAGCACGCCAAACCGCTCACACATGGTCCAGCCGCACAGGAAGTCGATCTCGAAGTTGTGATTGAGGATGATGACCGCGTGCTCCTTCCCCAGGCGGCGCACCGTGGCCTGGTCGGTGAACAGCGTGCACTCCGTGCGGGACCACCACTCCAGGAGCATGACCAGCTCTGCGGACACACGGTGGGCTGGGGGCGCGGCGGAGCAGGCAGCCAGGCCCCCCGACACAGTGCGGCGTCCAACGGCACAGGACGTCCGTCCACACCGGGCTTTTCCAGAAGCGAGTTTGGGCGCGTGTTTTAGTGTCCCTGACTCACGATTACCGCTCCAAGCAAAAGCGAGACTCTCAGGAAGACGAGACAAGCAGAGGCCGCGGAGGACCCCGGCGTTCGGACCGACGCCTCTGTCTGTGCGGCCGTGACCCTCGCACGTGCCGTGCTCTGGCAGGACGCCTCGCAGTCCAGCCACGGACTGGGGCAGGGCACACGGCCAGCCCGGGGCCCCCGTGGCCGGCCCATGTCACGCCTACCTCGGCCAGGCGTCCTGAGCAGAGCGACCTCACAGAGCAGGCCGCACAGTGCCCAGGGCCGACACGGCTCAGCCCTGCCGTGTGTGCCGGGCCCAGGCCGCTTGGGGAAGCATGGCCCGTGCTGAGAGCTCTGAGCCTCGGTCTCCTGTTTGCAGGGAGGGGACAGCAGCGGCTTCCGCACGGGCTACTGGGAGGACCAGGTGGGGCACGGCAGGTGACAATGCCAGCCGAGCACATGGGGTCTCCACCTCCTCTCTCTGCAAGGTGAGAACCGGACGGACGGTCTCTCTCTCGGACAGCGGCTGAACACGCATGTCCTTTCTATCTGACGGACAGTCAGAGGAGAAGCCATAAAGGGGTCAGCTTCCAGGACAGGCTGACCACAGCCCCGTCAAGGGACCAGAGAGGGCCCTGAGCAGACGCACGGGGGTCGAGAGTGGCTGTGCATCCGAGGCAAACAGCTCGCATGCGGAGCCCGGCGGCCCCCGCCCAGCACCCACGTGCTCCAGGGACGGAAGACGGACAGGTCCCAGCAGACGCTCTCCCACGCTCCCTCGCAGGCAGCCAGCAAGCACGTGAACGATGCTCGGTGTCGTCCGCCGTCAGGAAAACGCAAACCGGAGCCCCCTGCCGCACCCCCCACCCCGCCGCTGGGACCCTCCCATCAGCTGACGACGCAGGAGGCGGCAGACGGGACGCCTGGAACGCTGCTCACGGCCGGTGGGGACGCCGCAGGCGCAGCGCTTCAGAAAACCATTCCAAACGCGGAGCTCCCAGGGCACACAGCAGGGCCACCGCCAGACGCACGCCCAAGGGAGACGGAAGTGGCGTCCGCCCGGACGCGTGAGCACGCCTGCTCACGCGGAATTCACAGCGGCAACCAGCCAGACACTCATCAGCTAATGAATGGGTGATGGTGTGTGCCTGCGCGGTGACGTGTGTGCCCATTGTTGACAGTGTGTGCCCGCCTGGTGACACGTGTGCCCACGTAGTGATGGTGTGTGCCCACGCGGTGACGTGTGTGACCACTGTTGACGGTGCGTGCCTGCCTGGTGACGGTGTGTGCCCACATACTGATGGTGTGTGCCCACGCGGTGACACGTATGTCCATTGTTGACGGCATGTGCCCACTTGGTGACAGCATGTGCCCGCCTGGTGACGGTGTGTGCTCACACAGTGACATGTGTGTCCATTGTTGATGGTGTGTACCCGCCTGGTGACGCGTGTGCCCGTACTGTGCAATGTCATTCGGCCATAACAGGGCGTAGCCCCAACACTCGCCACAGCGTGAGAGGACCTTGGAAACGCCCCACGAGTGAGAGCCGTCCTGGCGGGTTCCATCAACATGACAGGGGCAGGCGAGGCGAAGCCACAGACAGACAGGAGGCAGACCGCCTGCCAGGGGCTGGGGGGCCGGGAATGGGGGTGCCTGCTAAACGCCACAGGCTTTCTTGGGGGGCTGACAGTGTTCCAGAATTAGGCCGTGGTGACGGCTGCACCTGTATGAACACACGGGTTTTAAAGACTCGCGTTGGAGGGGACCCGCAGGGTTCCGCCCGTGCCTCTGGCCGGCGGTCGGGAACCGGTCTGTGGGCCGACTTCGGTTGCACGTGGAGTCGCGGCGGGGGCCACGCACCTCACCCCCTCGCTGT